AGAATTAATCGTTTAATACTTCATTAAATGAAGCAGTTTATATAATCATAGATCGGTAATTGTATGGCGATTCGCATCGCACATAAAGTATATGGTTTTGCAGTTAGTTATTCCATATAAGTGCATGTGATGTTTTTTTTTCAAATTGTGATCGGTTGGTTTGGGTTTTGTTTTCTTGAAATCAAATTTTGAATCTGTTATTGTCGTTCCATTCGTCAATAAACTATTATAACCTATTCCGTTTGCATTTTTTTCACATACATAAACAGCATATAAGCAAATCTTTCATTAAAAAAGCAGGCAGTATTATGAAATGAAATGACGGAGCATCTCGACGATTTGAAATTCGCATGCGTTTGTACTGCAGCCTCGCAAAGCAGACAAGCATGAGCGATAACTCGACTCAATCAACCAAAGTGTTCACGTAAATCTTAACAAATTAGCAGCAGAAGTCCTATATGAACCTCGAATAAAGCTGAAATGTAATGTAATGTTGCCTTCTAGTTTTAGAAACTCAAGGTAGCTGGTTAGCTCAAATTAATTTTTGACTTCAATCCAGTGGTTTCAGATTACTGCCAAAGTGAAGTGTGATGAATCATTTGAAGTTTAATCGTTCATTTTGAATGGGTAATCGCAAAAGGTGATGACATTGCGTTGAGAACAATATGGTAAACTTTTTACTTTTGCGTTTAGTTTTAATTACATACGAAGGCGTATTAATACATCGATATTTCCGAGAACCATATCAAATGCTTTTTGCAGTTGCGTAATGAAGCATTTCAATTTGCATTGCTCAAGGGAACGTGATGAGGTGTAATGCCTTTCGCTGGTTATTTGAATGCGTTTCAACAAAGATGGAACTTTGCAGTTCCCTACTAGAATAAAATGGTTATTTTTGGCGTGAGGAACTAGATTTGGATCGTGTGAGCGGTTGGCTGTGATCGATAAACAATTTCTGAGCATAACTACTCATCGGTTGATTTGACAATGACTCTAGCATTTTTGCTGTGCTGCTCCATCACATTTTATTGCCTCTTGATTTATTGATTCGCATGAGTTACCAACTTTGGGTATGCTTCGTCCTTCAAAACCTGGTTCTACTTTTGACTTACATAAGATTAAGCAAATCTGAAATTATTCGAAATTTCCAAAAATACAGAAGTTGATTGGGTGAACTCGTTTGTTTCTACATCCGACAAATGAGATTTTAGTCTGAACGTTTCGAGTTATTCAGTGAATTATTATTGAGATTCGTAGTTGAGTTCGACTCCATCAAAGGGTTCGACTCCATCAAAATCCACTAACCTGTATTGAAATCATTCCAATGAGACTGAAAAAAACTATATAAGCGATCGATTCGATCTGTTCACAAATATGTTTCATAACAATGAGTATCGCTACCAATTCACTTCTTCGTCTAAAACAGATTTACTTTATCTCTTAAGAAAATCATTAGAAATTTCCAAGTGAGCCCTAATAAACCTTCCAGATGATATCAAACTGCCTTTGAGATTCAAGAAAAATCTGCAGTTGTTGAAAATGAACGGATTAAATGAAATTCGCAAACAAGTTATATTTCGAT